AGAGTTCTGGTAGTATTGTCAGACATTGGAGAATCATAAATAATTGCTTTCTAATTTTCTCTAAAGGAAAAGGCCCTTCAAGAGCACTTACATAGGGTCTGGGGAGATGGCTGAACCACTGAAATGCTCTCAGGGCACAAGCAACAAGACCTGAATTCAGGTACTAGGCACCTACATAAAAAAGCATGGTATTAAAGTTCGTGTCTATAACCCCAGTACTTAAGAGACAGAAACAAGAGGACTCTGTCTCAAAAAACAATAGGGAATGACGTAGGGAGATGCCAGGTGTTAAGGTTTGGACTCCACTTACACACTTGCACACAGGGAAACACTAGCAAACATATTGATCACACACACACACACACACACACACACACACACAGAGAGAGAGAGAGAGAGAGAGAGAGAGAGAGAGAGAGAGAGAGAAAGAGAGAGATGCATGCAGAAAGAAAACACAAAGTTCAATTTTTATAGACTATCCCAAATATACTTTCTTTTTCTTTTTTTTAAATGTTATTTTATATAGCCATAATCAAAAATCAAAGTAGGGGATCTATCCCCAGAGAAAGAAAGTAGATATTAAGGTATGTACCATTTTCTTTTAGTTATATGATGTCATGGTTTCATAAATAATAATAATTGGGAACAAAGCAGGTGACAAGACATGCAGCATAAAGCAACTTTTCATCCTTGTCCATGACTTGGTAAGTTGACACTGCCTGAGAAAGCACCTTTGCCCTGTAGACCATGTGTCAATAGGTGATATGAGGGACTATAAATGTTGGCCAGCTAACGAAACATATTTGACAAGATAAAGTAAAACCTCTTATGATGAAACATATCCAACCAAAGTCTTTTTATGATGTCCCATCATGTGGGTTTGTAGTGTGTTTGTAGAAGGTGCTTGTAGTGAATAGCAATCATTAGCATGTCTGGGAAATGGATATCAATGTATTACCAGTGGCTTGCTTCTGCTCTATGTCTTCGGCTTCATACAATTGTTTATTTGACTGTATAAGGAAGGGAGAGTAGGGTAACAGAGAGATGATAAGGCTTTATGCCAACAATCTGTCACAATGTAGCCTCAGGCAAAACACTTAAGCTCTGTAAAACTCAAACTAGGTTCCCTTAAACTTAAGAAATAGATTAATGATACACAACGATACATATTGAAGCATTTCAGAGAAAAATCTACCCCAATGCCTGGGATATAAATTCCAATGAGAATTTATTATGTTTTATTTTTCTTCATTCTGAATGAATTCATGTTCACTCCATAGTTGTGCTTGATAAAATCTCTGGTTTCACTGTGTAAAGTTGGGGAAGTTACTTTCTGTACCTGATTGTGCTTGTGTTAAATGCAGTGCTGAAGTCTGACTCCAAGCTGTGACTTTCATTTTAAACAATAAATGGGATGAAATTTCAATTTTAGGAATGGTAGTATAATCATGGCCTAAAGGCTAAATAACTCACTGCTAGCCAAACTGACTTCCAAGTGGCCCATACGATAATTATGTCACTTATTGCTGTTAGTGATAAATAAAAGGAAATATGAAAAACACACGTTTGAGAATGAAATCGTACTGATAAATCAACCACACGTTTATCTCTTAAAAATCTGTGACCAGATTGAGTCTATAAATTGTAGAAGAGGAATCTACATTCTGGGGAGTCGAGATTACAAATTTAGAACTGTGAGTTGCAGCCAATCTAATTAAAGAAATCCATAGTAAAGACAAACTTTCTGCGGTAATCACTACTGTTTCTCAAGTCCTTTGCTTGATGTAATTTTCTAAGCAAAACATCCAGAGCCAATAATTACAGGGATATTTCCATATTGGCGTAGGAGGAAAAGTTTGTAATTGTTTCAGTACCGCTAGAGTTACCTCGATGTGCCTTGCGAACTTATTTTGTCCCCACTGCATAAAATCATACTAGACTTCAAAGTAACGGAAAATTCAAAGTCCTTCTCTGAGGGCCAGAAATCCTTTGTGTTAACTGGTTGACCCTTTGCTCTTTAAGTTCCTAATGGAGGTCTTTTGTGACTCAGTGAAGGGTGCGCTTCCCTATATTGATGTTGTTTACTTCTCTGGGTAAGCCTGAGTAGAAAAAAAATACAAACATGAAAGATTCTATTTCCTGACAACATGGAAGGACTGATGAATCCACGGATTCTGTGTGCTGCAGAAAATTCTACAAAGGGTCCCGTAAAAGATGAGGAAGGAGGAGGGAAGAAAGCAGAACGCGTTTAAGTAAAGATGCGGATTTATGTCAGAGAAAGGATTCTCTTTGAATGGGACAAGGGATTGCCTGGGGGATTTCCTGTCCAGCCCTTTATTGCCAGGGTCTTTGTGTAGGGCCTGATGCTGCAGGCTCCCCATTGGGCAGTTCCCTAGGGAGAGCAGCGGTGAATGCTCACAGTCTCTCTGGAGCTCAGGATCTCACTTTCTCCATATCTTTCAGGTTGGCAGGAGCCTTGAGCCTGACACCTCTTTAGATGGGGCAAGCATGCTCCATGGGCGCATAAACACGTTATAAGCAAGTTCTTGGCCGATTTTATAGAGTCCTGTCCTCTCCTAAGAACGGACCATACCTAATTGTTCCATGCTTGCCTGCCCCACCAGAGCTTGGGGACTCCTTTCCCCTACTTCAGAAGTGGCAGCACAGGGCGGGGAAAGGGGGTGGGGTGGGGGACGGTGGGAAGGCAGTTGTTTGAGTGCGCACAAGGAGATGGTACAAGGTAGCTGAATGAAGAGCGCGGCTTTACCCCTAGCCGATTGGTACTTCTTGTCAGGAAGAACCGCTGAGAGGTGGGAGTGCCTGGTGAGGGACGCAGGCGGTCCTCTCGGCGGGCGCTGGGAGCTGCTTTCCACCCCTCCGCCTGTTTCCAAGCCTGGGCTCTTTGGAGTGGCTGAAGCTGCGGAGCGCTTCTAGAGCCTGTGAATGAACCCTCCTCCTCTCCCTCCTCCTTCTCGCTGAGTCTCCTCCTCGGCGCTGACGGTACAGTGATATAATAACGATGGGTGTCACAACCCGCATTTGAACTTGCAGGCGAGCTGCCCCGAGCCTTTCTGGGGGAAGAACTGAAGGCGCGCGGGCGCAGCAGCCGGCGTATTGGGTGCTGTGGACAGGCGCTGGGAACGGGATCTGTGGCAGCGCATCCTCCCTCACCTCCAGCTCTGTCCCGCACTCGCCACATCCTTCCCCAGGCCACCGCGCTTCCTATGTGATCTGCCGGGGTAACGCGGAGCCCATCCTCACAGCTCAGCAGTGAATTTTCTCCCCCAAACTGCAGTACGCCGCCTTTCAAGGTAATCACGTTTCTTTTGTTCCCCATTTTAAAGAAAGGGGGTAAAACTTGTGGGGGAAAGAAAACCGCCGAGCTTAGTGGGGGTGGGGGGTACACTGCAATTGGAAGAGGGCTTTAATTAAAGCCAAGAGGAATAGCTGTAGGCGAAGTTAAGCAAATGTGCAGGCTTTACAACATGCAGGTAACTTTGAAGAGGCTTGTTAAACAGGAATTCAGACAGACCTTGGTGCTGAAAAAGATCTAGACAAAGAAGCCCGGGGTGGGGTAGAGGAAAAGGACGAACGGAATAGAGGCACAGGATTTTGAAGAGAAATCCTAGAAAAGTCATGCTGTCTTGAGTTGGAAGAATGGGAGGGGCTCACACCTGATTTTTTGTTCTCTTTTAATGATAGAGGCAAAAGTTTGAATGGGGAGTCCCCAAACTTGCCCAAATACAGGTCCCTGAAACCACCTAGGGGCAGACCACCTGGATCCCTGGCTCCTGGTGTGTGGTCAGTATCTCTGGGTCCTGGAAAGCCACCCCTGGGCAGTTCCTGACCAGGCAGCGGGCTACTTTAGCTACCTCGGACCTGAGAGGACATGACCCCCTCAAACCCCCCTGCACAGGCAATGTTGAAACCTTTCTGGCAGGGGTTGGGCAGGGTACTGGGGTTGCGTTTCTTTGATGACTTGGGGGCTGTCAAAGCTCCCTCATGTTGCCACTGTGTTCTTTTGTCCTGCGCGTGGTGCGCCGGAGCCAGCCGAGAAGGAGCAGTGGTTGGGGGTGGGGTTGTTGGAAAGCCGTAGAGGTCTGGGAGGTTCCTGGGCGGGAAAGCTCCCCCTGAACCAGAGAGATGTGCAGTGTTTTTCCCCCTTGCCCTGGAGAGCGAAATGGGGACTTGTCGCCCTCATCTTTAGCAGCAAACCAGGACCCAGAGCTCTCTCCAGACAAAGGTGGCGCCTAGACCCGAGTTAGGGACCAGTTGGTCCAGTCTTGTCGCCTAAATTACCGAAGTCCTCTGTTCCCTTTTACATCTTCACCAGCTCTCATTTTTCTACTTCAGTTGAGCAACTTTACGGGTTGGTAGAGTGGTTGAGGAGAGCGCATGCCGGGAGTCCCCCGGACGCCCTGGCTGAGAGTCCCAATGCCCTGAGTAAGCGTGGGCGTTGCAGACTTCTCTGGTGCCTGCAGACCCGGGACATCCCGGTTGTCCCGGCTTGTTCTCTGTGTCAATGGGCGTGGAGCGAGTTAGACAGAAGAAATAGGGGTAAGAAAATAGTGTCATAGCCTAAACTATTTACTCTCGGATCCAACTACGTACGCCTCTGCATGCTCAGCTTGTTCTTGGGATCCTGCGGAAAGGGGAAGAAATCTCCCCCACCCCACTCCAGGCTGCAGTACTATACCTCCCTGAGTACAGCCACAGCGGAGTCTCGCTATCTGTGTCCTCTCATCTTTGTGTCTCTTTCCCTGTCTCCATCTTCTCTGCCTTCTCTGGCCCCTCTCTGCCTCCTCTCGGCTTTTGCGTCCCCTCCCCCATGGCTGACAAATGAATGGCTAGTGTGAAATCCCTTCCTTCTCAGTCCGAGGAGGCAAGCCCAGAGGGAGGAGCAAGGGGGCGGTGCGCTCCTTAAGATCTGCTAGCAGTTGGGTGTTTCCGACTAGCAGAACCCAGATGTCTAGGAATAGGGAGTTTTGTGGTAGGTGTGAGCTCCCCCTGATGGAGGAATTCAGCACAAACGGAGAAAAAGAAGGCCAGTAAACCGCTTTCACATCCTTGGGTTCAAGGAGAGAAGACTCGGGCCCCCCGTTGATAGTTTTCTACTTCAGAATCTGGGGGTGAATTTTGGGGGTTGGAAGAGAAGGAAAGAAGGGAATTTGGCCGTCCCGAGAGCCGGGGCTTCTTTTCTTCTGTTCTGACTTCGCGCGACGCTCTGGGCGGCGCCTGCAGCTGGGTGGACTAACACAACGCTGGCAACTGAGCCAGGTTTGAGGTTTCATGACATGCAATTTGCTCATCTTTAAGAAACGTAATAGAGATACTTGCTTTGGCAAATTTAGCTAAGGTCCTTGAACACAATGCTAGGGCACTGTTCCAGGCTATCGTAGAAGAATGTCCCCTAATCCAACTTAACTTCTTCAACACCGGGACACGCGTTGCACGTGGAAACTAGAGGCAAGGAAAGGAGTGGGAAAGATAGGGAAGGGAGGAAGACAATGGAGGATAGGCAGAAAAGGAAAAGAAAGAAGATGAAACAGATGAATGGAAGATAGCCAGGAGTAGGAAGGACTCGTTTCGAAATATCGGTCTCTAATTTGTGCCCAGTATGTCCAAGGCGATAACAAGCGCATCTTTGCCTGGTATTGGCTTGGGAAGGACTACACAAGCAGAGGTGGTCCCGCCCCGCCTACCTGAGCTCATCCCGCTTTTGGGGAGAGACCCTGCTAGGCACTGCCTTCAGCGGCTGGGGCTCGCCATCCGCCACGTGGGCTGGAGCTTCAGCTCAGGGCGCGAGACGGGTGTGACTTCCTGGGCTCCGAGACAGCTGCACAGCTGCTCCGGCGATCCGCTTAGCCTAGGTCTCCAGCGGCTGCCGCCAACTGGGGCGGGACTGGGCTGGACCCGGGTGGGGCCTTGGCTAGCTTGCCTCCTACAGCTCCTAAGGCTCGCTGAAGCTGGAGCGGACCCAACTTCTGCTCAGATGGCACTAAACGCTCTCTTTAAAAGTCTTTAAAATCCTCTCTTTCTTCTGTTTCTTGGGAGTGATATGCAAGGTTCTTGGGTTTTGTTTTAAAAAGACAAATGAAGATTTACTTTTAGACAACTCTTGGCACGAAAATGAGACAAGTTTGCGATTGCCCCACGCATTTGTTTTTAAATACATTCACATTTGCCTAAAGGTCACTTTTAGCCAGAGACAAAATTAATCCTGGTGTAAATGAGTATCATCCAGGATCCTTAGAGTTGGCAGGGGATAGGTGTTGGCCAAAAGAGTGATAAAAGACCTGGGGGAGGGGGGTTGGTGCGGGGGGCGTGGCGATGTAGACTGGGCACTGCTACTAAGAGCTTCACTTTAAACTCTCCAGCTTCTAATTCAGAGGAGCTAGGTTTTAATGGACTGCTCTCTCACCTTAAATTCTGTTTATAGTTGGTCCGTTATTGGTTTTGTTTCTCTCTAAAAACTATGGCCAGAATTGTGTTAAGTACTGCTTGGCAACTGTGTTAAACTCAGAAAATATTCACAGAAAATCCTGAAAACGAAAATTTTGAATTTAATAGGAAAACAACAATGGAAGCATCAGATAGTTTTCCGAGGTGGAGTGGGGGTTCCCATTGTCAGAGCAATGTAGCAAGGAGGGGGTCTCAGAGAATCTGAGTTCTAGTTCTGAGCACAAAGTAAGGAAGGAATCTTTGACAAATTGCATCTGCGTGTCCCCACGAATGCTGCAATGGGTTCCAATGGATTCCGAAGCAATTGAGCAATTACTTCCTCCAGCAGGAAGTCCACAGTCCTTAATCTTCTTGTGGGCGGGGGGGGGGGGAGTCACTA